CCAGTGTCTTTTCAAGATGATGTTGGGAGATCAATTGGCAAATCCATCATCCTAGAAAGTAAAAGAGAGAAAGTGACAAGACCAAGCACAATAAACCACATATGTAAGTTGAGGCCTGAAAACCAATTATTAGGATTTAGCCAGGAAATATCAGAGCTGAGGCCTGTGTGTCTAGTTGTTTCAGTTGACCCCACATGATTCAGGACACCCTCATGGTGTTACATGTCTGTTGCTGGGAGGGGGGGAACCCCTAGACTGGGAGATGTTACATTTGTGGAATTGGGTTGTTGGGTTGATTCTTCCAACTCACAATGTAGGTGAACTTGTCTGGAAAGGAACTACTCAGGACCTGTAGAATATATTCTTTTCCCCATGTTCAATCAAAGGCCAGTCTCTTGGAATTAGTGATGGCTGGGGAAGGCTAGGTTATAGAGGTCCCATCTGGACTATAATAGCATTAAGAGCTCATAGGTCCTGTAGTAAATGCCACTTATTATTCTTTTTAGTTATCACAAATATAGGAGTCTTCCATGGGCTCAAAGAAGGTTCTATGTGTTCTGCTTTAAGTTGGTCCTGGACAAAAGATTTTAAATGTTTTAATTTATACTGCTTAATTGGGCCACTGCTCTATCCAGATGGGTGAATTAGTCCACTGTAAAGGTGTGGGTTGCATTGGATGTACTTGAGCAGCAGCCCCTAATGAAAAGGCTGGGTAGTTAGAAGAAGATTCCATTGTTCTAGCAAATTTCATCCCCATAAAGATTGGCCCTCTAGTAGGCAATGTTAAAAAGCGGATGGTTTACCAGGGGAAGAATAGAAATCCCCTTTGAGAGGTGGAGGAGGAGGAGATAGCTGCCATTCCTGTTGAGCCGTAGAAGGCGATGATGGAGAGAATGGCTCAGGATTCAGGAATTTTATGGCAGGAGACGCTGGCTCCTCTGGTGGAGCAGATGCGTGATTATAATCTGTAGGAACATGCAGAGATGTCAGTGCTGTTTGCACCAAGTTCCATCTTGTGAGTACAGCAAGGGGCACCCAAATTCCCTGTCTGAAATTTTTCTTAAAAACCTTCCCTACTCACTCCCAGAGTTCTAACTCCAACGTGCCCTCATCTGGGAACAAGGGGCAATGCTGTCTTACTATACGTAAGAGTCCTTGTAAAGCTTTCGGTTCAACAGAACACTGGGCAGCCTTTAAGAGTTGTTGCAAAGTGCGCAAATTTGCTGATCTTTTGTCAGGTGCTGTCCCTCATTGGAAATTCCCTTCTGAACTATGCACGTCGGTCCCTTTCCCAAAGTAGCCGGCAGGACTGGCCCTTACTGGGATAATTTCCCTTGTACTCTGGATGACAAAAATGCTCACTGGACACGCAGATTCCTGAATCACGTCGGGTCAGCACTTGTAGCAGCAGCATTCACTCTGGTGCTCAATAAGGAAGGAATAATTACTCTAAACACATAGTGTTTAGAGAGATGAGGGGAAACCAAAGTCTGAAGGAAAAAATGGCCTCCCCAGCTAAGGTACTCCCCATATTTATTACCAAGGACACGTGCAGAAGTTCAGAGTCATTTGCTAATTTCTTTAATGACATCCACACACACAGCACAAAGCAAACAGGCTGCTCCGGGCAGGTGTTTTCACCTGTCCCTTCATTCACCCTGTTCACATTCTTTCCATCCACCTATCCTTTCTTCTAGGCCCAGCCCCTACAGGAGGGAGAAAGGAAAAAAGTTCTACATGATTTTCAGTAATTCAAATCTTTGGGTGTTTACAACTAACAGAGAGGACTTGTTTCTTTCTTTGACTATATTTGAATTTTAAATACCAATTGTACCTCCCTCCCCAAAATAAGTTTGAATCCATGCTTTATACCACATTTAAAAGTGAATTCCAGAGCAATTGAAGACTTACATGTAAAAGTGAAACAAAGCTATAAATACAATAAAATGTGGAAAGTCATCTTCGCAGCCTATGAGTAGATAAAGACATTTTGAACATAAAGCTAAAGCCTCAAATCACAATGTCAAAATTGGATAGGTTTAACTTCATCAAAATGAAAGGTTGTGGTTCAATGGAGAGCACCCTAGAAAAAGTTACCAGACCAAAGAAAATATCTGCAATATCTAAAGCCAAAAGATATTAATATCTAGTAAATACTCTCCAAAGAAACAAAACTCCTGCAAATCAATAAGAGAATAATGCAATAACTAATAGAAAAATGGGCAAAGTATATTAATAGGCAAAGCCCAGTTGTCTAACAAGTATATGAAGCTCAATACTATTAGCCATGGAGGAGCTGAAAGTTTCAACATCAATGAGATTCTACGTTATCCATTAGAATGGCAAAAATTAGAACACTAGATAATATTGAATGTTGGAGAGATGGGAATAACAGATATTATTAGATATTGTTGGAGGAAATATAAACTAGTCAACTGGTTCTGTAAGCAATCTAACAGTATTGGGGAAATTAAATATGAGAATGTCCTGTGATTCAGCAGTTGACTTCTGGGCATGTATCTCAGGAATACTCACATCCACGTGTGTAAAAGAACATGTGCCTGGATGTTTTGGGTTATATTATTTGTGGTATGGAAATTAGAAACAATGTCCATGATTAGGGGAAAGGATTAGTAAAGTGGTACAGAGACATACTATGACAATATTATACAATTATAGTCCTACATCACTTAATGCCAGGGATACATTCTGAGAAATGTGTTGTTACGTAATTTTGTTGTGCAAACATCACACTTACACAAACCTGCATGGGATAGACTATTATACACCTAGGCTATATGGCATAGCCTATTGCTCCTAGACTACAAAAATATACATTGAATACTGTATGCCACTGTAGCTCCATAGTATTTGTGTATCTAAAGATAGCTAAGCATAGAAAAGGTACAGTAAAAATACACTATAAAAAATGATACACCTGTATAGGACATTTACCATGAATGGAGCTTAAAGGCCTGGAAGTTGCTCTAGGTGAGTCAGTGAGTGAGTGATGAGTGAATATGAAGGCCTAGGACATTACTATATACTAGTAGACTTTATAAACACTGTATACATAGTCAATACTTAATTTATTGAAAAAATTTTTCTTCAATAATAAACTAACCTTACTGTAGCTATTTTATTTTTTTTTAGCTTTTTGACTCTTATAATAACACTCAAAAATATTTTTTTTCTACATCCTGCACATTAGCCTAGGCCTACACAGGGTCAGAATCATTAATATCAATGTCTTCTACCTCCACATCTTGTCCCACTGGAAGGACTTTTTTGTTTTTACTTTTTCATTTTTTATTTATTTATTTTTACTTTATTTTATTTTTACTATAACAGGCATGGAGCTGTCACCTCTATAATGATAGTGCTTTCCTCTGGAATATTTCCTGAAGGATCTACCTGAGGCTATTTTACACTTAACTTTTTTTTAATAATTAGGAGTATACTCTATGATAAAAAGTATAGTATAGCAAATACATAAACTAGTAACATAGTAGTTAGTAGTTAACATTATCAAGGATTATGTACCATACATAATAGTATGTGCTATACTTTTATAAGACTGGCAGCTCAGTAGGTTTGTTTTACACCAGCACACCATAAACATGAGTGTAATTCACTGTGTTACAATATTATGGCAGCAACAGTGTCACTGGGCAATAGGAATTTTTCAGTTTCATTATAATGTTATGGAACCACTGTCACATATTCTGTCATTGACTGAAATGTTATATGGCACATGACTGCATCTAAAATAACAAACCACATAGAGTAACACAGATAGATGTAAAACACAGATTGCTAGTATCTATAGCAACATTCTACTTATTAAAAATACCTAAACTAAACATGACATATTTTCCAAAGGAGATATATATATATATATATAGACATATATATATATATATATATATATATATATATAAATCATATTGTGGTAGTTGCCTTCTGGCAGAGTGGAATGGGTGGGAAATGTAAATTAAGGGGGGGAATAGAATAGAGTCTTGCATGCACTGATGCACTCATGATCCTGTACTAGAAACTGAGGAGTATAATTAGCTCAATTCTCCACATGAGTTTTAAACACACACACACACACACACACTCTCCCCAAGTTCTTCCTGAGTTCAATTCATTATTCTGGCAAGCCATATCTGCAATGGGGTTGCTGGTGTAAACCATCTAATCTTATTAAACTTTTTTGGTTACGCTACCTCAGTGGTTCACAGCAGGGGCAATTTTGCCTCACCATCTCCTTCCAAGGCACATTGGGCAATGTCTGGAAGCATTTTTTGGTTGTCACCACTTAGGGAGTAGGAGTGCTGCTGTCATCTAGTAAAGGGCCCAGTGATGCTACCAAACATACTAGAGTGAACAAGACAGTTGCCACAACAAAGAAGCGTCCATTCCAAAATGTCAGTAGTGCAAGGCTGAGAACACTTATGCCATCTCATTACCTTATCCTTGTAAAGGGTATTTCTTTGGTCTTTGGGAGGCCACCCTTCAAGCTGACCAAGCTGCTCTTTTCTTCCCTACTTTCTACTTCCTCACTCTCCTCCCAGCTTCCTTTTCCAATCTCCTTTCAGTTCTGCTCCAGCACAATCTACTCATATTAGATGTTATGTTATGATGCCGCACTCTCTCTAGAAGTCATTAATTCACTTAAATATCACACTAACTTTAATTACTTATATCAAGACTACAAGTGGGATAAACAGTAAGCCTTTATTAATTAAAGAAAAAAAATGATAAAATGTCTCTCACTCCTTTTCCTTTTCTCTCTAATGAGTTTCTTCCTCCAAACGCTCATGTTTTAAAAATGAAGGATATCCAATCTAATACTCACTAAGGGCCTTTACTAAGTCTTCATGAATTTGGTGAGGAAAAGAAAGGAGCTAATAAGTTTCTTTGAAGGGCAACAGTTTATAAAGAACAAACGGAGGGTGGGGGTGGAGTTTGGGCCTGGGGTGTGAGAATTAGAAGCAGAGTTGGGGATGTCAACCGCAGGACAAACTTGGCCCAAGGGGGTAGTGAGTAGGATGCGGATTGAGCTTCAGCTGTTGGAGGTCTGGGACTAGGATCCTTCACTGAAACAAAACCGGAAGGAAAAGAAGACTGAGGTTGACTTTTTAACTGAACTCCAAAATTCTCCAAGCAACAGAATGGGCCAAACGTGTACCAGGTGGGATTTAAGTTTAAATGAAAGCAAAAATTTTCAGATAATGGGGACTGTTAAACATTGAATTTGAATGTCGTGCCTCTCCTGCTCTGGTGGTCTTCAATATTTTTTAAAGAGGGCTTCAGTATCCAGTATTATAGTCTAATTTAGGCTAAGGAGCCGATTAAATTTCTTAAGAGCTGTGATTTCTGTTTTCCAATATTTTCCCTGAAGTTTTTTCAGTTGCTGTTTGATACCTTGTCTCTTGGGCACTCACATAGCCTCTCAAGTGCCTTTGAGCATAAATTATCCCCCAAAGACAAGTTATTTCTCTCATCAATATATGCTGGGTTTTGTTGTTGTTGATAGTGGTGGCAGTGGCGTTTTTGTTTTGTTTCTTTCTGTTTTTTAAGAAATGAAAACGTTTGGAAAGTCCCTGAAGAGACATTATCCTCCTCAATTTTATTTAGCCCGAACAGGAGGAATACCAATATGTTCAGATCTCAAAGCAGTCTTCTTTTTCTACTCCAGATAAAAAAACTTCTAATTCTTATGAATCTGGACTTGAATTTTACTTTCTCAAAAAAAAAAAAAGAACGGTAGGAAATATTGGGCTCACGTGCACGTTATTCTAACCTATGCCCTCACTTCTGCTACCTAGGAATTAAATTACCCCTTACTACCCTTCCGAAATCACACTCCTGTTTCTTTAACAAACTGTAAGCTACAAGGGGGCGGGCCTTCGGGGCGGTGAAGGCTCTGATTGGTCCTATGGCAGGAAGTAGGCGGTGAAAGCGCCGCTTCTGTTATTGTCCGAGGCTGCCGGGTGAGAGGCCAGGGCCAAGCAGGGCTTCAAAACGCAGGCACCGCCCTTGCTTCATACCGCTAACGTGAGAACGTGGGAGTGCAAAAACGAGTCCCCTTCATCCGGGTGGGTTCGGGGCCCTGGCAGCCTTTACGCGAAGGTGCCGCGCCCCAGCGACTGGGCCGCAGTGGGCCCGAGGTCCACTCGGACCACCAAGACCGCCCGAAGTCCCCGGAGCTGGAGGGAAGGGATTGCCTGGGCGCCGGCCGCCGCCCTCACAACTCGGCCGAGGCCCCTGGCTCAACCTAGGTTCTCTTTTTCCCCTGTTCTGCAGGCTCGCTTCCGGCGTCATGGCTCAAAGGGCCTTCCCGAATCCTTATGCTGATTATAACAAATCCCTGGCCGAATGCTACTTTGATGCTACCGGGAGGGTGAGTTTGGGATAAATCTGCCTGCATCCCTTCCTCACTCCACAGTGATTGGAAGGGAGCTCAGTCTTGCCTGAAAGAAAGCGATCAGCATCCCCTTTGGAAGACTATCTGATTTGAGGAGAAATATATAGGATATTTTTAAATACGTAAAATACATGTTAAAGTATACAGTGTAAACTGTAGCATAATGTTGAATATCAATGAGATAAGGAGTCATTTATATTATAATAATTGAAGATACAACCTCAATCATTGATAGTTTATAAAAATTGGCAGATATGTAGTTTACCTTGCAATTTGCATTTTCAGTCTGGTAAGTTGAGGAATCCTAATGGTATTCACACGTGCCATTTTATTCCTTTATGATTGTACACAAGTATGGGCAGGATAATGTGGTTTGTGGTAAGGACATCTTTAAACTGATGGCGTTAGGAGAATTTGGGGACTTGGAGACCTGAAATTTGTACCATTACTACTGTTTCCAGGCCATCCCCACAGTTTTAATTACTAGTTTGATTTTGGGGGAAAATAAGTAATAAACTGGTTAGTACATCACAAGCCACTGTGCAAAAGAGAACCTGGGTGTGATATACCAGAGGCCTGTGTTTTCTCATGCCTCTTTGGGTGAACATATTGTTAAAGAGGGAATACAGTTCTTCTTAAGAATACCTAGTTTTGAGAAATCCTAAGAATGAGATTGGAAGGGTGTGCACACTTTTCAAAAATATTTTACTTGGTTATTTCTTTGAAACTTGTCAGTCATACAAAAAGCATTTCACGTATAATATAATGGCCTTACAGATTTCATATCTATAATGTTAATTGTATGTGGGTCTGTTTGATTTTTCCTTAAAACACTTGTCATTATATGTTAACTTGGGTCAGTAATGCAGGTAGGAGGGAAAAAAGATGATGAAGAGGTTTAGGGTAGAAGGCTACCAAAATGTATATGGAGTTAAGAGTCAATGTGATTATTTTAAGACCAAGATTGAGCTGCTCAAACAAAGCTTTTTATAATGATTTTGAAGTGAGGTCAGATGGATTCCCTTTAGCCACTTGGGCCCGAGTTCTGCCTAGCTCTGCAAATTCTGCAGCTGAAATATATGTCTTGTCTTGTTGGAGGAGGACATGCTGCTTCATGCTAACTTGGCAGAGAGAATACTTGAGGATATGTTCTAACGATAGAATCCTTCAATAAAATGTAGCTCACTATTTAGGCTGTTTATAAATTAATTTTTTTAATCAATTTAACCCTTTATTTCTAAGGGGAAAAAATTCATAAATTTAAACCCTGACCCCAAAATAATAATGTAATTTATTGCCTAACAGAGTTTTTAGACATCCTAGAAAGAAACTTGCATACCAGTTTTAAAATGAATTTTAAACACAAAGGATCAAACCCTGGCGATCTGTCCTCCTTAATTTGTTAACACAAAGATTTCAGTAAGGAACCAGTCTGTTTTATGGCATCTATCAGGCTTTTAGAGACTTCTCAAATTATTGCTAGAGTGAATAGTTTGGTGGTCTACCACAAGCAATCAATATTCTCAGGCAGGTCGCCTTTATTAAATGCAATATATGCCAAATAGAAAGTAACTTCCCTTCCTGAGGCTGAGGTTTTCTCATTATTCTTAGTCTCTTGAAGGCCAGGCAAGATGATAAATTATACATGATCTATGTACAGAAGATGACATGTTCTCATGTAGATGCACTCTTCTATCTAGTTGAGATTTATAGGCCTTTTATATTAACATTGAAGCATATTTTATCTTGCTAAATATATTTTCAAGTCTTGTTGAAATCTTAACCTGTTGGCAGATATTGTTGAGTAACGGGAATGTGTGTGTCAAACAATATGGTTTCTTTAGAGTGTGAAATAAGGGATCATAGTGGTGCTTTATAAAAAATAATCCATTTAAAATTGGATTCTAATTTGCCTTATCAGCAATGCTCAGAAGTGAATCTTAATGTCTTTTAAAATTATTATTAATTTTGGTACTGCCTTCTTTCTTTTTTCAGTGTTAAGGTGCCCATTTTTAAAAAGGAGATTCTATTGCTAACAGGTAGTGGTTAGGTTTGTTTCTACAATCCATACATGGTAAAATAAAATGTACCGTTGTAATGTTCCCCTGCATTGTTTAGAAATTTTATTGCTTTATGAAATCTGAGTCGTGGAATTGCAGCAAGTTCCTTAAATTATTGAGGGATACATTAAAGTGACCTTTTAAGACACTTGATGATTCAGTGTATACAGAACTTTAAAAATATTTTTCACCTGTCTTTAGGAAGAGTAACATAATAATTGGTCTCACAGTTTGTTCAGCATCTGTGGGCCTTCATGTGAGTGTTATTCATCCCAGAACCCCCCAGGCTTAGTGTACTATCAGTCCATATCCAAATTCTTACTTGTCATAGACCCTTGGGCTGCTGAAGAATAGTAAATGTCAACACTTACATGCCTGAATGGGAAAGACCTGTGACATGTGATCTCATTTAATCCTAAAAGTATCTTTTGAAATTGATGAGGCAGGTATTATTATCCTGGCTATATGGAGGTAATTGAAGCATGAAGAAGTTACTAGTTGAGCAATATCACTCAGTTAATAGTGAGTGGATAAGGATGTAGCCAGTCTCAGTCACTAAGAAATATTTAATGAAGTCCCTACCCTTTGCTGGGCTCTGGGCATAAGTTTGTGGTAGCTGGGTTTGACATTCTTTCCACTCTACTTGAGGCTTCTGATATATGTGAATTTGTTTTGCTTGTCTTGTACTCCTTCAATTTTTAAAAAATAATTATCCATTTTTTTTAATAACAAGAGCAATTAGAATGTTTCTTTAAGGGAGTAACATTGCTACTACTTGAATACTAAAAATCCAGTGCCTTGAAAGCAATAAACATCTTCTGATTTGTGCTTAATTTAATAAAATAAATTTTTATCATAATAATAAATATTGGTTTAAATAATAGATGATCTTTATCAGGTGGGAAATTACTATGAGGCAGTTTATCATTGGCAGTCTGTTTTAGTATTTAACTAAAAATTTTATGTAAAACATTTAAGTTACAACAGTATTTCTTGCCTTGAATAGAAAAATAATAGAAGTACTTTTGTTAATATGCTGTTGTTTAAGAATGAATAATAAATTGTCCAGTTTTCCCAGGCAGAAAAATGTGGCCTAAGTGGAAATGAAATACCTTCCTATCTTTGATAGGATATAGTCCAAGAAATTGGGTAGCCCATATTTTTTTGATATTTGTTTTCCCTTAATATCTACAGCTGACTCCTGAGTTCTCACAACGCTTGACCAACAAGATTCGGGAACTTCTTCACCAAATGGAAAGAGGCTTAAAGTCCGCAGACCCTCGAGATGGCACTGCTTACACTGGCTGGGCAGGTATGAAGTGCTGACTGTAGCTGGCATAAGCATCATACATGAGAGCCAAAGCATTACTTTTTCAAGAGCTATCTGACTTAATGGTACATGCTTAAATGCTTCCTGCTCTGCGTATGAGTAATTTCTTCTGGGAGATGGTTGTGCTCTCAACCCAGCATGGTATCTTCTGGATTTTTAATAGTACCTTGTAACTTAGGGCATGCTAAGCATATCCATGCAATTCATGCTTGATATTTGGATGGCTGCCACACTTGTGGGGAGAAAAATTGACGTAGTTAATTTGGAAGTGAAATTTCAGGGGGAAGAGTTGGGAAGAATTCCAAAATACAGTGTCTGAAATAAAGGGAAAGAGAATTTATCCTTAGGAAATAAAATATGTCCAGAAGTGTCATTTTGAAAAAATAGTTATCCATAACAAGGATCTGTACAGGAGCACAGAGTAAAGTATTGATTCCATGAACCAACCTTTCCATATGAAAATTGCTGGTTGGTTTGCATTTGCTGTATTGTCAATCATTGATAGGTTGGAGAAAGTCTAGAAAGAAACACCACTGTTGTTAAAAGAGAAATCAAAGAAGGAAAGTTGAAGAACTGTGGTTTGCCAAACATAGACAAAAAGACAGCTTTATAATCTGCTTGAAGGAAGCACAGTCCAGAGACTCAGTGCTTTCCATTCTCAGAGGTCAAGGAGGAAGAAGTTTGCAATGTAAGAAATTTGAATTCAATTTTAAACCTATAAAAATGCAGGTTTCTGGGCCTCAACAGCAGAGATTCTGATTAAGTGGGTCTTAAGCAGGACATAGGAATTTTTCATTTTACAAGCTTCAGTGGTCCTGATGCAGATGGTGATCTTTGGTCTGCAGTTTGAAAGCTTCTTTATGAGAGAAATTTACTAAAAGCAATCTCTTAGCAATTCTCTTTAACGCAGGTGGAACATCCCAAATACAAAAATCTGAAAGACACAATGTTCCAAAATCTCAAACTTTGAGCACCAACATGACAATCAAAAGAAATGTTCATTGGAGCATCTCAGATTTCAGATTTGGGATGTTAACCAGTAAGTATAAGGCAGATATTCCAAAATCCCCCCCCCCACCAAAATTTGGAATCCAAAACACTTTTGGCCCCAAGCATTTCAGATAAGGGTTACTCAAACTATAATGCCCTGTGATTCTATTTTAATCTTACAAGGACAGGGAAGGCAGATAAAATCAGTAAAATTATAATCTCAGGGATGTTTAAGGTCAGTATTTTATAAAATAAGAAGAATGGCGTAGATAATATTGGGCCATCCCTTTTATAATCGGTTTTATGATTTTTGTGGATTTTAGAAGCTTGTCACAAGAAATGTTAACATGTGAATAAAATGAAAGTATTTAGCTTCAAGCAGGAAGTTTTAACAGCTGGCATTTATTATCTACTATATTCTAGGTGCGGTGTAATTGTCAGGTTAATCTCATCAGTGAACATTTCTATTCTTTATTTAAAATTATCAGGATTTGAACAAAACAGGACTAGTACAATACATGGTTGTCTTGAGGTTTCCTCTTGATTGTCACACTGCAATAATAACTAAGACTCAGGCATATAGATCTTTCCCAAGTATATTTGGAGTTTCTATTATTTTGTTATTCCTGCCCAAAAGAACAGAAACAAATTGCTAAGTCTTAACTGCAGGACTGCTTACAAAAGAGTGACTGAAATCTTTCAATCACCTGTACAGATGAGCTTATATTATTATTAATTCTAAGGTACCCTGCTTTAGGAGGAAAAGAAGTGGGGATTGATTTCAAGTTGGAATTAATAGTTTCACAGTGTTAGGAAAAATTATCAGTGAGTCCCTTGTATTGCTTTTGCTAGTTGAGAAACCAAAAATAAAGCTTTCCCTTGGAAATAGAAAAGAAATTTCACGCCAAAGTAAAATGCAAGTTGGTTTAAATTTTTTGGCTGTGTAGGGTTTCCGGCATCATCTCCTTTGAGTGCCAATATCCTTCAACCTTTTATCTTAAGTATCTATGCTACTCATTGCTAGCTCCTGAGAGCAGCTTATATGGCAAGTTTCTGAAGCAAATTGGCACACTAAGCAGTTTAGGATCTCTTCAGTGGCTGGTTGTTTTATAAGGTAGCATAAAATCTTCTATATAAATTTGCTAATGGCTTTCAAGGCAAGGTTCCAATGTCTTCTAATCAAACACTGTTAAAAAGCCATAATTTCCACATAAAATAGACTGTCTCCTCCAGTGTTTTGGTAAGTAAAATGTTGCCCTGTGCCAGTGTTCAGTCTAACATAAAGCTTTGAATTGCATAAGAAACTAAACCTGATCTTACCACAGAAAATCAATGTTAATACCTTCTTCTCCTCTTATACCTTCTATACCTTACCAAGTATTGTCTAATCATAACTGTAATTTTATTATGAAAACATGCATTTACAAAAAACACAAATATCTGGTGTTGTGTATCAAAACAATGTTTATATAATTATGTGTAGATTTGTATGTTACTTTGTGTGTGTCCATGTTATTTTTCAAAAAGTGAAGTTTTTAGGAAACAGGCATTATATTTTTTTAAACTTTGTTCAGCCCCATATTTGGGGCCATATTTTATAAATATTAACATATTGTTTGCCCTTGTTGCTAATGTGTTAAAACTTACATTATTTTGGGAAACACTGATTGTAGGAAATCCTTAAAACTTTCAACATTGATATTTAATGAGCATTTGTTGTCAATGTACAATGAAAGCTTTTGCAAGTTACCATTATATTATTCAGCATATAGTTTGAGAAAACTGCATGATTATTACAATTAGTTAGAACTTTAAATTACTATCTTATTGTGTTAAAATTTTTTTTAGTATTTATTTATTTAATTTTTATTTATTTATTTAGAGATAGGGTCTCACTCTGTTGCCTAGGCTAGAGTGCAATGCATCATAGCTCACAGCAGCCTCAAATTCCTAGGCTCAAGCAATCCTCCTGCCTCAGGCTCTCAAGTAGCTGGGACTACAGGTGTGGGCCACTGTGCCCAGCTAATTTTTTTACTTTCTGTAGAAATGGGGTCTCTCTCTTTCTCGGGTTGGTCTTGAACACCTGGCCTCAAGCAGTCCTCCCACCTTTACCTCCCAGAGTGCTAGGATTACAGGCCTGAGCCACAGAATCTAGTCTTACTGTGTTAAATTTTATTCCCAGTAGAACCATGGCCTGATAGCTACTGGTGGTTCAAATAAGATTAGCGTTTGGGGCAGCATTAGGTTCAGCTGCCTATACACTCCCCCCACGCCCCCAATAAAAAAACAAAATTAAACAAAATTACAGGATTTAAATAAGATAGCATATTTTTCTCTCATATGAAAGAAGGCCAAGGGAAGCAGTCTAGGGCTGAGATGGTGGCCTCAGGATATCAGTAGGAACCCAGGCACCTTTGTGTTCCATCATTTCTCAGCCACTAGTTTATACCTCTTGATCAAGATGGCTGCTGAAGATCCAGTCATTACATCAGCTTTTTGGGCTGCTAGAAAGAAGAGGCAAAGAAGAATGCATTCCTTCCCTTTAAAAAGATTTCTTGGAGTCTCACTCAGCATTTCAATTCTGTTTACTTTGCATTGGCAGTCACATGGTCACATAGTCATTCTTGTTAGCAAGAAAGGATGGTAAATGTAGTCTGTTAGCTGGAGTTCTGTTACTAAAAAAGAAGAGTGGATTTTGGGGTAAAACTTTATAATCTCTGCTATAATGCCTATATAACAAGAAAAATGATTTTCTTCTTTATTCCTATGTTTTGCACAAGGCATTTGGTCAGTGTGCTCCAATTTTTCCATCCGCCAAAGGATCTCTAACTTCTGTCCACTTTTAGGGGGATTTTTGTGAATAAATTTACCAACGTCTATAAAATTTTTTTAAATTTGCTAAGCAATGTTTTGTCGTTCTTTATTTCCAGAGAGACTTATTTGGATTTTGATTCACAATATCTTTATTCTTTTAAGTTTTTATCTTCATTTCAATAAGTAATAATCTTTGCATAAATCTACCATAGAAAGGAAATATTGCAGGAATGCCAAATCATAAGTAATTTTTGTAGAGCTACATGTAACTTAAATCTAGAAGGAACTGCAAGTGAATCTAGACTTCATACTATGAAACGTTATTGTTTTGGTAGCTTGATTAAACAGTTCTTTGTCTTCCCTTTCTGCTTTCTCTCAAATTCTTGTTTACTGTTGCAGAATTACAAAGTCTTTAACTTGTACCATATATCCGTTCATACTAAAGCTCATAATCATATGTCTGTATTTCTACTTCATGACTCTAAAGAAAGCTACCAAAACTAGGCTTCCCAACTTCCTAATGCCTCATTCATGCTATGCCTAGATTTGTCTCAGTTGATCTTGAAAATAAAATGGTTCTAGTGAGAAGATGACACCCATGTGTTCTTAGTGTTATAAGTGCACAGTTGATACTTGAACAACGTGTGGGTTGGGGACAGTCAAAAGTCCATGTATAACTTTTGACTCCCCAAAAACTTAATTCCTAATTGTCTACTGTTGACCAGAAGCCTTACCGATAACATAAAGTTGATTAACACATATTTTGTATGTTGTATGTATTATATACTATATTCTTACAATAAAATAAGCTGGAGAAGAGAAAATGTTATTAAGAGAATCATAAGGAAGAGAAAATCTATTTACTATTCATTAAGTGAAAGTGGATCATCATAAAGGTCATCATCCTTGTCATCTTCATGTTGAGTAGGCCAAGGAGGAGGAGGAGGAGAAGGAGATGGAGTTGGAAGAGGAGGAGGAGGAGGGGTCGTTAGTTTCACTGTCTCAGGAGTGGCAGAGGTGGAAGTGGTGGAGGAAGTGAAAGGGGAGGCAGGAGAGACAGGCACACCTGATGTAACTTTATAGATATCCATGGTCATTTCTGTCTGACATTTTCGCTTTTTCATTTCTCTAAAAATGTTTTTCATAATTTGCTTTAGGTTAAGTGCATCATCATGTAA